CAGAAACAGCGACGAGGGAAACTTTCCCTCCTCGTCGATCGCCGACGCATCACCAGGAACAATCTTTACCGCCATCGCCTATGAACACGTCCGAAAGAATCGACCGTTTCAAACACGCGAGTTGCAACTTGAAACGGTATATAGATATATAGTATATGGTCGATTGCGTATCTCGTAACAGCAAAGGGACATGAATTTCGCTCACGATGCGTTGCCAAAAGTTTCCGCGGATGAGACGTTATCGAGGATGACTCGAATCTCTGCACTCGGCGGATCTCTCTGTCGCCACGTTGTCTGCCGCGGCTTAAACGGCGGTCTCGCGAGCTTCCTCCGCGAGAGCGATTCCGTTGCTCGACGCCAAGTCGCGCCACGTTGTGCATATGTCGTTTTTAAGGGGAGAACCGACTGTAACATTTATTCACGTATATACTTGAATATACTCGCGATTTTTAACATCAGCCACGATGGCCACATATTCACGATGAACGAAGGAAGAAAGTGTTTTACACACAAGCCGCCTCCTCCTCCTCCTCCCACCTCTGCCCGGGATAAATTTATTCAAGAGAGAGAAAGAGAGAGAGAGAGAGAAAGAAAAATATTTTATTAAGTGTTTCACCGGCGGGATAATGTGTATTTTGCTTTTGTTCGTGATAATATATTGAACAAATGCATATGTAGTGTTTTATCTCTCTTTCTCTCGCACGTAAGATCATTTCTCGAGCAAGATAGAAAACGCAAACAATTCTTTCGCGCATACGCACCGCCGTGCGCCTGTATGCCTTGGTATTATAGGTGTTAACTGCACCCGATTCGACGCTTCGCCCTTTACAGACTGCTCTCGTCGCTTCTCCCTGCTCGTCGCGTAACAATCGCGACTAATTAGTCGATATCCTCGACCTCGTGGCATTTATCGCAGGGGCCGGCAGGCTTCCGGAACGATTCCGGATACTTGGCTACGTATACGCAACCGATACACCATGCTCGCACACTGGCTCACTCATTTTTACGGTGGAAGAAAGAACATCTCTCGCTCTTTCCCTCTCCTTGTCGCCACGAGAGCGCAATGCAACCTCCCCGTCAACTATAGTTTTATGGTTTCAGAAAAACTGTTTTTTCCCCCCCCCCAATTTTTTTCGTAGATTTTTTTCTCAAGGGTACAAATTCGTTCAGAAAAATTCACATATGTTCGCATTTAAAAATGAGTTTGGTTGGATTTACTTAATGCTGGACAAGCAAATGCGTGTTTGGAAGGAAATAGAATTTCTGGTTGTAAGAATCAAATTTGATTCATGAGAATTAGAAGTTTTGTTTCTTTCAACCAAAACGCGTTTGACTGTCCACTGTCAGGTACATTCAACCAAACTTATTTTTTAGTGTACTTACAACCTGCCGCATTTACTTGTTTCCGTAAAGAAAGTAAGAAATAAAAAAATCCGTAGAAAAATGGAGGAAAAAACGGTTTGCTTGCGAAACTTTAAAATAGTTACTGTGAACTTTTGCGGATCGGCAATTGTCATTTTTACGATAGAGAAACAACTCTCACTCCTTTTCTCCATTTCGCCATGAGAACGCAACGTAACTTTTCCGTGAGCCATAGTTTTAAAACTTCGGAAAAACTCATTTTTTCCCAATCTTTCCGCGGATTTTTCGCAATTTTTCCTCGGTTTCTGTCCCAAGGATGCCAAAATTCGTTTAGAAAGATTCGTCTGAAACCTGCCACTTTTTTCCGCAGAGAAGAAAAGAAAAGAAAATCCGTGGAAGAATGGCGATAAAAACGATTTTTTTCGAAACTCTAAAATTATGCCGTGAACTTTCGTGAGCTGCTGTCGTTTCTACAGTGGAGGAGTATCTCTCACTCTCATTCTCCGCTCCGTCGCGAGAATGCGACGCGACCTCCCCGCGAAGCGCGTAACCGGCCCGTAAACTCGCGCGGATCAGCTGCTCGCCGTTTGTCGGGAGAAGGGGGAAATCAACTTTAGCGGTTTGACGGCGGATAATAAAACGCGTGTCGACGGCGATATCGTTCGCATGTACAGACGGCGTTTTGCACCCGTTATCGCGGCTTCGCGTTATTACCGCAGCTCCGCGCCGCACTGCATTGCCACCACCGTCGTCGTCGTGTGTAATCACAGAGGCGATTACGCTCCATCGGAGATCGCGACGATGCTTACGTTCTCACCACGTGTTTCCCATAAAGGCCGCGCAACGCGGCCAGCGGCGGTCGTCGCGATCGGTCCACCAGCCGGCACGATACAATCGTTCTCGTCGGACGCGCCCCGACTTTTTATCAGTTTCAACCGTTCGTACGAGAGTACACTCTATTATTATCGGCTTTCCGCGATAATACGAATGTACGTCGACGGTGGGCTCTGACGGTGACTCTCACTTTCGCGAGCCTCTCGCGGGAAACCGATCCGCCGCGCGACTTCGCACGAAAGTCACGACAATGTCGTCAGCGACGAAGGTTAACGGTGTTTATGTTGTCGCAAGAGGCATCGAGAGGTATGCTTTTAAAGGGTTACTTACACATCCGAGAGCGCTCGTCGTGTCTTATCGCTCGTTACGCTCGAATTTTTGCTATAGTTTTGAGGTTTCGGAAAAAGAAAATCGTTTCTTTCCCGATTTTCTCGCGGACTTTTCCAGTTTTCGACTTTCTTTACGGAAGAAAGTAAATGCGGCGTGTTTTAACCACACTGAAAATAGAGTTTGTTTGGATCTACTTGATAATGGGCGACCAAACGCGTTTCGGTTGAAGGAAAGCAAATTTCTAGTTCTCATGAATCAAATTTGGATCTTATAATTAAAAATTTGGTTTCCTTCGAACAAAATGCATTTGTTTATTCACTGTCAGGTAGATAGCAAGCAAACTCAATTTTCAGTGTAGGCAATAAGACGTGAGCGGTAAGCAAAATTAACCAAATACAATCGATATTCTCCTTTACGGTCTAAGAATAATCGGGCAATCGGTCCGAAAATAATTGCCCAACTGTGGTTGGTCAACTTGCTTGCTGCTTGCGCTTTTGTGTACGCCATGGACCTTGCCATGTGAATCTTCTCCTTCTGCCAAATCTCGAGTGTATAGCTAACTCGTTTTAAATGCAGAAAGAGTGCATCGTGCATGACGCTGATAAAGAGAACGTGCCTCTACTGGGACGGGAGTGAGATAACTTATTCGAGAATAAAGAAGGAATATAGCTTTAAAGTTTCGGAAAAACACACTTTTTTCCCCCATATTTTCGCGGATCTTTTTTTAGTTTCTTACATATATTCTCTTTAAAAAAGTAAATGTGATAGGTTTTAACTGAACACAATTTGAATTTTTCTAAAACAAATTTTTACGTCCTTGGGACAGAAACCGAAGAAATCGGCGGAAAAAATGGAGAAGAAACGTTTTTTTTTTTTTTTTCGAACCATAAAAGGGGAAGTCTCAAAGAACTATGCGGGACGCGGTACGCGTCGAAAATATTTGAGAAACGGAGCGACAATGCGACCATTAACTTACTTATTACTGAATCAAGACGCTTGCGTTAATAAAAGCGGAACCGAGCTCGATTGCAGGTGACGGTGGATGAACGAGAGGGCGAAAAAAACGTGAAAAAGCACATCCGTGAAAGTAGTACGATCGAATGCCCGTTAAACGATGGTAATAAAAACGTCAGGTTAGGTTAGGTCGTAAGCGTCATTTCCTTACGTGCGAGCAGTTCGCGGCGAGAGTCGGGGCGGCCACGTGTTACGATAATTAAGCGAAGCGATCGATAAGCCGACACGAATCAACAACAGCAACAACGTCCGACGGTGCCGCGAGATAACGTAACACGTATATGCTGGGAAAAAATGGAGCATAAAGGGCGACAAAGAGGGTACGGAAAGAGTCAACGTACGAAAGCGAGAGCGCGATGCTCCGTATTTCTAAGTATACCACACACACACACAGACGCACTCACACACACTGTACAGAGAGAATCATTAGGTAGGCGCAGGCTTACCTTGATTGCCGAGCGTGATCGCGACTACCCACGAATCCTCGACGACGACGACGTCGTCGTCGTCGTCATTAATTCATAAATCGATCTCTCTTTCTCTTATCTCGCGTCGCGAAGGTGCATAACCCTCTCTCTCTCTCTCGACAACCGGCAGCCGGGGCTCCCGGCGGTTTGATAATACACAACCGACGAGAAAACGGCACGGTGCGCGGTAGGAAGTTCGCGGCGGCGCGTTATCTTAACGCGAATCACCGTGAATTATGTACCGGTTGCCTCGGGGTAGTCCGCCGCCGATCGATCGATTCTTTCGCACTCGCGCTCGATTCGGACGTAGCACACGTAGCGCGCGGAGAGGAGGTTAGGTAGGCTCGGATGCGACGAGCACGGCGAGGCATAGAGCGACGGAGACGCCGCGATTTCGGCCCCGACGGTCGGACATCGCCGCCGCGCGCACGACACTCCGGCGATGGCGATAAGGCGCCGCGCGGAACGACGCGGAAACGCCGCGTGGCGTGTCTCTCTCTCTCTCGCAATTCGACGACCGTCGTTTTCCGACGGTCTGCCCCTCGTCTCGCGGCTATCGACCGGCCGGGTCCTCGGCGACGAATTCGCGCGAACTTGACCTCCCACGACAAGGCGAGGCGAAGCGCGCTAAAGCGATCGCGAGGAAACGTCCGCGACGGTGCGACGCGCCGGAGCGACGTGCGGCGTGCAAATATCGCGGAATGTATCGGAACTTTCGGTCGGGCACTGTTACGTGGCGCGGCACTCGAAAAACACTATAGCCTCTAAACCCTTCCGGAGAAAGAAAGAATAAACGTCCTTCGCCTCTTCTTCTCTCTTTCTCCTCCTTCCGGTGACGACGACGACGTCGCGATCCCGACACTGCTCCGAGACGTAAGGGAAACGCGGAACGGTAATAAAATCTTCGAAACTCGGCGCGCACACGCACAGACAGATGGTCGGTCAGTCAGTCAGTCAGTCAGTCACTCACGGAGACGGATATAAACTTCCTACCTTTCGGAGGCTATGGTGACGCGCTATTATAGGCCATGACGCCGCCGGCACACATCCTCCTTGCAGCACCGGCGAGCGCCGACTGTCCGTACCGTCGTCCCGCGCGCTTTCGCGACCAGCATCTAAGACGAGCGTACGACGGGCGACCAGCTGACCGCCGTGAAGCCCGTGCCGAGCTGCCCGTGCCGCTGCTCCGTGCTGTTCCGTTCGAGTCGGTCACCGGCGAGTACGTGTCCGTGCGGTCCCGACGATGCGATTACGTTGACACACCCGACGCGGTCAGCACGCCGCATCCGGAGAGGGATCGCCAGCGAGCCGAAGGCAGCGGGTTAGAGCACGCGCGAAATATCGCCCCGCTAGAGAAGCGCGCGCGCGGTCCCCCCGGGGAATCGAACGGAAAAAGGGGGTAAAACCGGAAAGGAGAGGCGCCGACGAGTCGACGAGCCGACCTCCGCCGTCACTCTGTACCATGGCCGTCGTGCTAGAGAGCAGCACGCGATACCCGCCGCCTTCGTCGTACGGCGCCACCGAGCGATCATTGGCTGTCGGATTACCGACTGACTCGCCAGCGACGCGCGCGGCGAGGCGCGCAGTTTGTCGACGGTCGATGTTCACGGTGTCGGTAATGGCGTTCCCCGAGTTGCCCGGTGATCGCGCGCTATCACCGTCGGTATTTGGCGTTCACATTTCGTCTGTTCTTTTTAGCTGAATTGGCTGCACCAATGACGAAAGAAATATCGGTACCCATTCGAACTGACGTATAAAATTCAGCGATGCACTCGAATCTTTCATTCCGATACGCGATAGAGCGTTCGGATCATCGACTTATCGCTCTCAGATAAGAGGTTAGTTCGTTTCGGTTAACTGACCAGGTTGCGTTCGATTTGGATACTCATGCGCTGTAAAGCGTCAGTCTGTCTTTATTGTTCATTACATGCCAGAGGAAAATAGAATGACGCTTACTGCGCGCGGCAGTTAAGGCGCGAACGCAGTCCGACATTCGATTACTTCCCTCTTACTCGCTCTTGAATGTGGAACGTATATCTGTTTCACTGCAAGTGACAGGAAGTGTTGCTGATATTTGCAAACGAGTTGCCGCTGAATCGTCTAAAAGCATTCCTCGCAGCTGTAACTTCAATACTTCAGCATTATTGCATCAGCAGCGGTTCAGTACTGCACGTGTATGTGAACGGCCGCATGTGCCATACCTATTTAGAAACGTGAGTACTGAACATCATATGTAATCATGTAACATGCATTCTTTTCTTTTATTCTTGTACATACACGTAGTTAATTTACTGATACAGAAACATGAAATAAATAATGTATATTTTTATTGGGAGCACATCTGTAAATTTTTATTTTATTATGTTGTGAAAATGTCAAAGCTGTTGCATAACATTTTAGTATTTCTTTGACCTTTGCAAAGATGCATGAAATCTTTTCTGCAGCTCAGTATATCGCAATTAAGGATAAAGGAAAATCAGTAATATTGGCAATATGTGTGGGATTTGGGCACTATTTGGTTTGGACACGGATCCTTTGACTTGTATCTGCGAAAATTTCGACAAAATATCGCACCGTGGCCCGGAAGCTTTTAAGATTGAATTTGATAACAGGGTCAAGGTGTGTGTTCAGAATTAAACCATTTGTGTTATTTATTGTTTGTATATGTACATTTGTACATTTGTATATTTTTCATTAATTTCTATCTTACAGAATGGATATCTGGGATTTCATAGATTGGCTATTGTCGACGGTCTGTATGGAATGCAGCCAATGAGAATTTGCAGGTATCCTCATCTCTTTCTTCTGTCCAATGGGGAGTTATACAACTGGAAGAAAGTAATATATTTATCATTTAATATTGAATGTATATGTTATATATTATATTAAAAATATATATTCAATATTGTAGATAGGAAAACAATATGACTTTGAATACACTACTAAATGCGATGTCGAGGTCATTATGCATTTATACGCTCACGGTGGTGCCGATAAAGTAGCTCGATCCTTGGACGGTGTATTTGCATTTTGCTTAATGGATGTTGACAAAAGAAGAGTTCTAATTGGCAGAGATCCGTACGGTGTAAGGCCGCTATTTAGATTACGTTCGGATGATGGCCAATTAGCCATTTGTTCAGAGAGCAAGGTACTGGTATTAAAAGACTCGTTATTTCTTATAATTCTAAATAAAAAGTTTCAATAAAATAATCTATTATCACGATAAATTTTAGGGTTTAATGGCAATATCAAAACGCATAAATGGCAAATCGGTTCTAGAACCATTCCCTCCCGGTCATTATGAAGAATATGAAATTTTAAATGACGGTCGAACCAAGTTTTTGAAATGCGTCAATTATCATAAACCTGGCGACAAACCTTCCTTTCAAGTGCATACTCCTTGGGTTGGTGAGTACATGAAATCATAAATAGTCATAAATTAGAAGCATATTGTGCAACGTCCATTTTTTACAGCTTTGAACCCGAAAGATATTTATGGCAATATTCAAAAGTTACTTTCGGCAGCTGTGGAAAAACGACTAATGGGCGACAGACGAATAGGGTGTCTACTATCAGGTGGGCTAGATTCTAGTTTAATCGCAGCTTTACTGATGAAGCAAGCAAAAGAACATAATCTACCGTACAAAATACAAAGTTTTGCGATAGGTATGGGAGACAGTCCAGATATCATTGCTGCCAGACAGGTTGGTTATACATTTATATTTACGCATTTCTGTTTTATCTCTCTTGATCAATAATTGTGCAGCTGGAAATAAACTTGAATTTCTTATATGATAGGTCGCAGAATACATCGGGACTGAACATCATGAAATTATTTTTACACAGCAGGATGTAATTGATGTATTGGACATAGTTATTTATTCTCTAGAGACATACGACATCACTACCATCCGAGCCTCGATTGGGTAATAAAAATATTGCTTTAACAGGAATCTAGTTTGAAAATTTCCAACTCGTTTAATGTTACACATTCAAGAGTAGAAAAAAGTTTATAATTTTTATCATATATAATCAAGGAGAGAAGGATCTCAACTTCCTTTATCATATAATTTATATATTGATAATTAAAGATGCTGTACATCACACCGAAAACATTTTTTTATTACAGAATGTACATCCTCTCGAGATACATAAAGCGAAATACGGAGACAACTGTGATCTTCAGTGGGGAAGGTGCAGATGAATTAGCCCAAGGCTACATCTACTTCAGAGACGCGCCTAATGCAGCGGACGCACACAACGAATCTCTTCGATTGTTAAAGGATATTTATTTATACGATGGTTTGAGAGCAGATAGAACGACCAGTGCTTTTAGTTTAGAGCTCAGAGTTCCATTCTTGGATCTTCAGTTCACCAATTATTATTTATCGTTGGATTCTGGAAGTAGACAGCCCCAAGGTAGAGCAATGGCAACTTAAATGGTATCATACGCGGAGCATGTTACTGATTAAATTATACTTTCTATAGTGAGTAACATTAATGTAACAAAAATAAGATGGTTATTTTTGTGTGTGCACAGATGGAATCGAAAAACACTTGTTAAGATCTGCATTTGATGGAACTGGTTTACTACCTGCCAATATACTTTGGAGACATAAGGAAGCTTTCAGCGATGGCGTCGCTTCCATTAAGAAATCTTTGTTCCAAATAATCCAGGAAATCGTAGAGGATCGTGTTCAGGATAAAGATCTGGAAGAAGCTTGCGTTAAATATCCTCATTGCACACCAAAGACAAAGGAAGCGCTCTATTATAGGTAATATGTGAACATTTCATCAAACGAAAGTAATTTGTCCCATTGAATTGGCCGATATGTTACTTTTCTTTTTCTGTTACAGAAATGTTTTCGAGTCACATTATGAAGGACAGGCGGAAAGTTTTACGCCCTACTTCTGGATGCCACGCTGGGTGAAGGGTGTCACCGACCCATCTGCAAGATTTATTACTCACTATGCCGCCAACTCCGATAAGAAAATCGGAAAAAAAGCGGCTTAGTAAATAGATACTGGGTATATACACACATGCACCGCAAGATCTGCTTTATTAGAAAATAGATAAAATTGCCTTATAAATATGTTGGGTATTTCATAAATATTCGCTCGATATTTGTGCATGTTTGTAATATAAGATAAACGAATGTTTTCACAAGGTATTTATCATTTTTTATCAAAACTACCCTACAATCACATTATTTTTACTTCACATTGACGATGATAACAACGATCATATTTTGTCTACCGCTGTCATTAAGATAAAAGATATTAAAAAAGAATGTTGAGTTTTATTCAATGTAGAGTTGTGCAAAAATGGAAGTACAAAAAATAATCATTGTACCCCTGGTGGGACTCGAACCCACAATCCCCGGTTTAGGAGACCGATGCCTTATCCATTAGGCCACAGGGGCTGTTGACGAAACTGTTTCTTATGCTGAACTACATGTTACTTACACCACAGATATTTAATATTTTATCATTTTATCACTTTCAATCATGCAGAACTGAACTACAAAATCTATTTCTTTTAATGATAGCTTTCTGTATTTAAAGTGAAATAGATAAATATTCAAATTTGAGAATGAATATAAAATAAAAATAAAGTGTAGATAGTGCAGCTAAAACGAGCACATTTTACGTTCGTCGTTCTCGATAAAGATGGCAGCTTACCTGCACCGGGTTATCAATTAAAAAAATCACTACGTCCTACGAGATGCATTCCAAGGAAACCATTTGAACACTTTGATAATTGTACACGTAATTGATCTGCAACTTGCGGTAAGTATTTATTGCAAATGTAAGTTTAATTTTGCGTATTGCATTAAATGCAAAGAATTGTTTAACACCACCTGTACAGGAATAGCTGAGGGAAGTGACTGACTTTTCATTTTCCTCTAACAGATGATATCAACGAGATACGTGTCATTCTTGTCTGGAATAATAATAGCTTCTTTAACATGGGCATTCAGTCTGTACCTTTACTCAAGACTGTCGCAAAATACTATCACTGTCAGTCCCACAATGTTAGTACCTGGCATATCTAGTCAAGCGCTCAAGGAGTCGTTACTTAAGCATGGGGAATACAGTGAGAAGGATATCATGTTACGCGATAATGTCATCATCGCCCGTAATGAGAAGCAAACAATGATTGGTAAGAAAACCTACAACTTAAAGGGCAATAAAGATTACGAGAACAATGACCTGCTTCTGCAGCAACTACAACCTGTTCCGGTAAAACCTGCGGTTACATTGGACCAAGGTGTCACAGTCTTTATGTCCTGAATTAACATTAAGCCATCAAAATCAAGTATGTAACTGATTAAATACTTTGACAGGTCTAGATGAATTAGGGATGGTGAAGAATTTGGACGACCAGCGAAAGAGGGATGAGGGGTACAAGAATTATTCGTTCAACGTTCTCATATCAGACAATCTCGGTGTTCTAAGAACTGTGCCAGACACGAGGCACAAATTATGCCGGGCACAAAAATATCCCGCCGACTTGCCGAATGCTAGTATAATCATCTGTTTCTACAATGAGCATTACACAACTTTATTGCGCTCATTGCATTCTATAATTGAGAGGACGCCAGCGACACTACTGCACGAAATTATCCTAGTGAATGATTATAGCGACAGCGATACGTTACACGAGAAGATAAAAGTCTACATTAAGGTCAATTTTAATACCAAGGTGCATTTCTTCAAGACAGACAGAAGGGAAGGTTTAATCAGAGCACGAGTGTTCGGCGCGAGGAAAGCAACTGGTGACGTCTTGATTTTCTTGGATAGTCATATAGAGGTGAATGAAATGTGGATAGAGCCGCTTCTTTCAAGAATCGCCCATTCGAGGACTATCGTGCCTATGCCGGTAATAGACATCATAAACGCGGACACATTTCAATATACTGGCAGCCCATTGGTAAGAGGAGGCTTTAACTGGGGTCTTCATTTCAAATGGGACAATTTACCGATTGGAACGCTAAAACAAGAGGACGATTTTGTAAAGCCTATCAAGTGAGATGATATTTCCACACATTTTGACATATCAATATGTAAATGCATTTAGTCACAAATATATGTATATATTCGTATTTAAGTAGATTCTCATGATTGTATGTCGTTTGCTAAACGAACAGATCGCCGACAATGGCTGGGGGATTATTCGCAATCGACAGGGAATATTTTACAAAGATTGGGGAATACGACACCGGTATGGACGTCTGGGGAGGGGAGAATCTTGAGATATCGTTCCGAGTAAGAATCAGTTACTTTTGCTTTGTTCTCTCCGAGATTTGTCTCACTATGCCGTATTGTATTGTCAACTCCTTCTCCATTTCAGATATGGATGTGTGGCGGTAGTATCGAACTCATTCCTTGTTCACGAGTGGGTCATGTGTTCAGGAGACGACGACCGTACGGCTCGGACGACCCGCAGGATACCATGCTGAAAAATTCCTTGCGCGTCGCGCACGTATGGATGGATGAGTATAAGGATTACTTTCTGAGAAACACTAGGAGAATCGACTACGGTGATATCTCGGAACGGCTGGCGTTGCGACAGAGACTCAAGTGTAAGAGTTTCGGTTGGTACTTGAAGGTGGTTTATCCCGAACTGACATTGCCGGATGATACGGAGAGACGACTGAAGGATAAATGGTCGAGGCTTGATCAAAGGCCAATGCAGCCTTGGCACTCGAGAAAGAGGAATTATACCGACCAGTACCAAATCAAACTTGCAAATTCCGCGCTTTGCATTCAGAGCGAAAAGGATATCAAGACTAAGGGCTCCCGACTTATTCTGATGCCGTGTTTGAGGATTAAATCACAGGTTGGTACATTTGTCGATTATTATGATCGAAGAAGGGAAGTTTCATTTTAATTCTCCTGAGCTATAAATTATGTTTTACAGATGTGGTTTGAGACGGACAAGAATGAATTAGTACTTGGCCAGATGCTTTGCCTGGAGGGAGCAGAGAAGACTCCGAAACTCGGGAAGTGTCACGAGATGGGTGGAAGTCAAGACTGGCGTCATAAACGCATTGTAAGACTTTCCATTGGTGTATTTAATTTTGAGTATTTGCATTACAGGTCACGGAATCAGGTTGAATATTTTCTTTTCACATAACGCGTAAAATGTCTCAAAACGTTCCTTAACGTAAACAGCAATTAATCTATCGGAGTAATTGTGTTTATGAAGTGAATAGTTACTGTAGTAATTTTCATTCTATTTCATTCTATAATTTCCATATATTTTTCCTTTGTAGAGCGGTACCCCTATATATAATATGGCAGCTGGAACTTGCTTAGGGGCAATGCGTGATATAAGAAATGCTCAAGTCGTCATGGACCTATGTACAAAATCGAACGCTTCATTGATAACTTGGGATCTCGTCCGATCGAAGGTTCCATCTAAAGAGATCAGATGACGTCGGAAGAAAGGACGCAAAAATAGAAAAAAGAATTACGAAGACTGGCTCGGAAGGAAATGGTAGATCCTTTGGTAAAATGTATATACTCGACAAATAGTTACAACTAGAGGTAGAGAAAATTTCATACGTCGAGTCTTAATGTAATTTAACAGGAAAGAAAAAAAAAGTAAGAAGCCTTGACTCTCCAGCAGGGCTTCAAAACAGTTGAAAGTATCGTAATTATATAAGAAAAACATTGAATCTCTTCAATACAATGTATATATGCAATGTAGAGAACTTTCCCTTTTGTATTTTTATCACTTCTCTACGATATTGTGAACTTATATGCACAAATATTTATAAGTATTATATTTATATTTGATAATTTTAGACAATTTTAACAATATTATATGTATTAAGGTTATTCTACGTTAATTACAAGTCGATCATAAGCAGATGCAATGCTTGTCGCGTCAGATCAATTAGAAGGGTCGATAGTACCATTGATTAGTAGTCATAAGTAAGCGTTGCATCCATTTACTATCGACTTGCAACTAATGTAGAACGACTTTTATATATTATAAAACGTGTGATAAAAGAACAAAGTCTGTTGAACAATCTTTATAGTAAAAATTATTTATAAAATATTTTATATTTATAAAGATACATTTGTATCGATATAATTTGACGTTAAAATATGTTTTTGTAAAATATATTTATTACACACAAATATTAGAAAGTTTGTTTTTTTGCAACATTGACCCTTAAATGTTGATATTCATTATCCGTTCTTACACTAGTGTGTTCATCGAATTCGCTATTTGGTCTGTTCTTTATGGCTGCACTGTTGCAGTAAGTTAGAGTGAGATAAGTATATTTTGTCTTACTCTAACTTATTTCATCAGTTCAGCAGCGTAGCTATAAAGAACGGACCAGTTATTAGCTCTTTCTCTCTCTCTCTGTCATTATTCTTTGATGACCGATCGGACGGCAGTTCGGAGAAACTTTGCTTTTATTTACTAACAACAAGAGAGTAAAAGTTTGTTTGATCTAACAGAAAAGAACGCAAAGATGACAACATCAAAGGAATTAAATTTAGCCAGAAAGAATCTTATGGCATCGCTTGGCGATAATACAAAAATGTGAGTTTTTTTTAACTTAAAGAGTAGAGTAGAATACGCTGACTACATTATATAGGTTATAATCTAACCTATAAATTTATTTTCTGATCATAATTTCATATCGTGTTAGAAATTGTATGGAAGTTCTCATTTTTATTTATGTCTCCTCAACAGGTACTTTGAGAAAATGAAACTGTGGTTCCAGATGAAGGTATATAAATTACTCAAATTTGTGACAAGTGTAAGCATTTTGTATACTACTCACATGAAACTATTGATTTGATAGACTACAAAGGAAGAATTTGACTCCGAAGCACGTAATATCATGACCGAGGATCAAGTTCGTCTACATAACGAATTCCTGTTGTGTCTCTTTAATAAAGTTCGTGGATTGGCAGCTACTACGCCGACTCATAAGATAGATAGAGATAAGAATTTGAAGGAGAGAAGACTGAGGCTGAAACGTAAATACAAGACTGATAAATCAAATTTTGAGGTATGTAAACGTATCACACACACACACACACACACACACATATATATATCTGGCATAAATATAATTATATTTAATCATTTAAATAATTTCTTAATGACAGCCAGCTGATATGTATGTGGAAGTATTGAGTCAAACCTCATCACCTGTCAGGGATGAACCCATAGGTGCCAATCGCTCCAGCGCCCAAGAACTCGTATTACCAGATCGAACTTTTGTATTGGCTCGACTAATGCTCGCTGCGTGGGAAAATAATATGGATGGAGCCGAAGATAATACAGCTCACATTGTTATAGCAGCGACACAAATTTTCTTGAAAAACATACTCACTGCAATCTTCACACGGAGGAAAGGATACGCCACTCGAGATGGCTCTTTCATTTATAACATCGGAGAACCAGTGCCTAGTTCGTGGAAAAGAAACTCCATGTACATAAATCCGCTCCACAATGGGTAAGTCGCGAATGTTGGTCTTTTTTATACCACACAATGGTTATGGATGGATTTTAACATTTCAATATAGGTCAACAGAGGTATTAGATCCTCATGGTCAAATACCAGCGTCAAAACCAACCATTGAAGAAGCCGAGCAAGCTACTGCTTTTGCACACGCATGTTCCACCCAAATTATTCCTCCGCCATTGAAGCCAGTTAGCACGGCCGATTTGCAACACACGTTAAAGGTAAGAATAAGGAGATGCAGTTTTGCTAGATTCATGTTTTAACTGTGATTTTATTTCCTCTTCAGATTTATAAAAATCTTGTGAGTAACCACACAATATATGCTACTAATATGGAACGATTGTTTACATATGCCACTCATCCATCGTGGGAGGATTTGGAAGCAAAGAAAATGTTATGTCAGCCTTCAACGTAAAAGACGATTATATGCCTCTTATTAACGTCAACGATTCGTGATAGAAGTTTAGGGTTTTGTCCTGGTTTACTGATATTTTTCTTTTTAATTATTGTTATATCTCGTTTTATAGCGTGGAACAAGCAATATAGTAAATACAGGACACACGTATATATACGTATTTTTTTTATTTAATTAATAAAAACCAGAATATATTTAAAATTTTACTTAATTAAGTTTGCACCATTGTATATATATATATATTTATATTATTACAAACAAAAGAATACTTCCTCCATGTCATGTGTAAATTTGCCGCTCTTATTAATTCACTCGTACAATTTACAGAGCACATTACATATTTGATATTATTCAAAAAGATAACTTTTCTTTTTTTCTGGAATCTCATACATCATTATTTACATTCTTATTTGAAATTTCCCGGCCTTGGTAATGTATTTGACACCTTTGAATGGTTTATACTTTTCGCCATACATGTCTAGTCGGTTCACCTTTAACCCGGACACTGCTAATTGATTAATCGTGAAGTGTACCTGAAATTGATATGCTAATTTATTAATTTTAAGGAAGAAAAATTACGTAAACTAATACGTATAATAAATACGTATCGTCCTACGTACATTAATCGCAGGGTTTGACTCAGAAACGGTTGTCGAATTTTGTATTGTAATCTGGAATATATAATTTTTCTCATATAACAGAAAATTATTGTACTCATTTCTACGTATGTTGTAATCGTCCTACCGATCCTCTGAGATTTGGCAGTTTGGAAACATCGATTCTTCCGATATCCCACAATAACACTTTGCTGACAGGATCAAATGAGTATTTTCCTTGGTTTGGAGTTAGAGTACAATTTAGGACTATCTTTGGCATGGGAATTTCAAGAATCACATTTTCGACCTGTAATAGTATAACGCTAATGCTGATAATAATGATAATTAAGATCATACAATGTGACAGTAATAGTAATATAATGATTTTCATACATCTGTGAAAAAAAGCACTTACAGTTCTGCCGATAGTTTGTTTTGGTCCAACAGTTATATCCAATCTGCCACCTCCTGGTTCTTTCAGACTAATATTATGTCTTACATATATTGGAATTGCTACGATACTTTGCGACCCTATATGATACGAAAGAAGGCGGAAGTTACCATCCGGCGGGATGAAAGAAAGTATCCTCTCGGACTGAAATAAAGACAATGCAAGCTTAAAAATCTACTTCTCGCGGAAATTAGATAATATCTACCACATATTTCTTATACAAACCTCCCATCTCTTGAATCTAACGCAAGGATGAAAGCTGACATCATCGAATAATCTTGGATTCATAAATGAAAGTGTGAGATCCGGCATGCCGCTTAATTTTATGCAACAGTCGATCTAAAAAAAGACACAATTACATGTAATTTAATATATTAATATATATGAAATATTAATATCTTTATGAAGTGTTTGTACTACAAACACATACATAGCCTTGAATTTCGGCAAATACAGTTGCCCCAGTTCGATCGATAATAGCATCCACTTCCTCAACAACGTCAAAGTAAGCTTCGTTATTGGTATACTTCACTCCAGTTCGTCTCCAAGGGACATTGGATAATTGGCCACTTGGTAAAATTGCACTAACACTATAGATACATACAATTATGAAATACATAAGATAACCTTTTTGCATACTTGTGTATAAATGTTCCAGTACATTAAGATACACCTACTTGGATTTGCCTGTAACAGTGTTTGCTATGGTGCGTAAAATATTAGGCGGCTTGATCAATTCTTTCAATATATTGGATTCTGTTGCCAGAGGAAATCCATTGTCTAACATTTCATCCAACAATTCATATACAACCACATAATTCTCTTTTATGATCGTTTCTGTGCATTCATTGAAGTAATCCTCAAAGGTATCCACTACCCTATGCAAGAACTCAATGACGAATAATGGAGGAACTAGAATGAGAAAAAAATATTTATCTATCAACCTATGTTAGATTATACAATGAATTATATTATTTATTAGATGTGTGCAAAAGTCCAAGTCTTTTGACTATGTGAAAATAAAGTGAAAACTTATGAAAAATGACTAAAACTATTATATATACCTAATATATATCCAGTTAAGCTTACCTTCTGTCATACATACTGCTACGAAGAACATATTGCAACGGTATATACTAATAAGATAATGATGCGGTGTTGCTATCACTGGTGGAGTATCCTCTGGTGACAAGACTCTTCGTTGTTGGTCAAAGAAATAGTCGCAAAGCGAACGTGCAACCGCGCTCTTCCAATGTTTCTCCATGAAAACATCGCTACACACAGGTGAGAATTAGAAATTGAAATGACAAGGAAAAATATTGCACATCGCTACATATCATAAGTATCATGAGGTACTTAACAATGATGAGAAACACAGAATATTTACTATACGTGGCAAATGTCACCCCACGTTCTGTCAAACAGTTGTCACACGGTATGTGTTTCACTCGATCTGTTTTGGCACTTACCCGGAAGAATTTATAATGAAGAGGCTGTGTATCATTTTTACGAGCAAGTGTTACGAATATTGATGGGCAAAATATTCAAGTACGCAGCTAAACTGTATACACGTCGATACGGTCGAGAAAGTTTTCCTGTCAATGTTTGTACATAATTATGTACATATATATAAACTTTCAGCCATGTTACTATTGAGCAATGTGAACCTAGCGCTATCAGAAGTCGGCACCAGGGGCGGAATAGTACTTCGATTGTAATATAAAATGCGAATGAAAGAAAAAAACGGAACTTTCTCCGTGGCGAGGAAAAAATCATTTGCGAAGAATAGAAATTTTAAGACAATATCAACAATTAACGATTATAAAAAGATCATCATTGATTACTGATGGAAGTATTTTGTTGAAAATACTACGAAATCGATGAAAAATGAAGTGAAAATTATCGAAAAATTATTAAATATATTTCAAAATGAATCATAATTTCCCTTGGGAAATTTAATGTAATATTGTGAAATATAAGGAAAGTTAAATTACACCGTTGAAAAGTAGTACACATTTTTTGAAATATTAGATATCATAAAATTTACTAAAATTTTATAATGGAAGTATCGATGGAATAATAATGAAATGGGACAAACTGAGAGAGAATCTCACATACATTTCAATACGATTTCAATAAATTTTTTTGTGAAACATTTCCATTGGGATAAATTAATCGAAGGTCGGAGAAAGTCGCTCTGTATACGCACCTGCAGGACGCGAAAGGGGCGGCGCCACCATCTCGGTCCGCGATCGGCGTTCCACCTGACACAGCGGAACGAGTGGAAGCGAGAACAGCCAGCGAGCGGCAGCAGTCGCGGTCGTCGTCGTCGCGCGTCGGATTGTTTGTCAATATTCTCGGCGCCTATCTTGCTCAGCCGCATCGGGTGTGTGTTCCCCATCAACACGGTCGTCGACTATCTCGGCATGACGGCCACCAGCTACGGCGGCGCAACGGTGTGACACACGCATATAGCATACATACACACGAGTCCTCGGCGATCCCCGGGGGCGGCGTTCCGCGAAATTTTTCGTGTCTGACGATGGAATGCGCGAACGAGCATCCACGAGCCTACTAGGAACGAGGTTCCGTGGTGTGCGTGCGACACACATCGACGATCAGTGGCAACACGTAAACGGCGCTCTGTGTATGTATCTTCAATTGCACCTTCTACACTTTTTTTTCCGTTGCTCCGTCTCGCTCGAACACGCGGAATACACGTCTGTTTTACTGTGAATGCAGAGGGTGCAGCCGATCGAGCCTGCGTATGTATATACATGCGTATGTATGTGTACGCTGTGATGCCGTTGGCGTACATACGACGAGATCCATCTGTTTCGCTGTGAGAAGATGCCTCCTGTGATCGTATCGTCGAGTGAAGTTGAGATTTGAGAATTGCCATGGACTGCCAGTGAGAAGAGGGAAAAGAAAACACGTTCTCCTGATCGAGGGATCTGTCGGATATTGCCTTGAAAAAAGTACACAGCGGTCAGTGTACAGAAGGAAGCTTCCACAGGCAAGCGTTGAGCTTCAGTGAGTGGCACGTGTGAGTGGTGTAAGTTGTCATGCTGGAAGTAAATTGATAACGTTGATAAATAATGAGGCATTTGGCCTGTTCTTTTTAACTGCACTGCTAAACTGGTGTGATAAGTTGAAGTGAGAATACATACTTGTCTCACTTCAACTTATTGCACTAGTTCAACGGTGAAGCTAAAAAGAACAGGCCAATTGTGTTGTATCGATCATTCGAATCAAAGTGGTCGGATAAAGTTGTCAAGCAGTGGCTTGTCAAAGCGACTTTATTTGGCGATAGCTGGTTTGGAATTTAATTTGAAATTTAAGCACATTTCGAGATGATTGGATGAATAGATCTTAGAAAATGTTTTGTAAGATATTTTATTTACATGTGTTCACGTAATTTATAAGTAGTAGCTCTTAATTTAATTAAAAATAAATAACAATATCGTATTTGAATTAAAGTGTACTTTAATTCTTCAAATTAAGATCAATGGTAACAACTAAGGTTTATTTCTCTTTATCTCTTGTATCATCTTCCTTTTTACATTCTTTGTTCAATTTGTAGCTTTCCAAAGTTACCTTTGCATACAAGTTATATTTTACAAGCCTGTGGTAAACATTGACAGGACTGTTTTTTTTCTCATTGCAGATTCACTGGAGGAAAATGTATAGAGACAAAATGATACAATATGCAGACATAGGTGGCCAATACGGAGCAGTTGAGTATAATAGACTGTTGTGTATCTCGCTTAGTTGATGCACGGAATGCTGTCTTAGACTCCTGTCTAGCACCTTAACTGCATATCCTTAGTCTCGCTCTGTCGGAGCGCATTGTCCGCATTGTCCGAAAATATTCAGTGTTCATAAAATCACTTTTAATGAGGCCGAAGGCGCGGCCGAGGAGGCAGACTTTGTTTTGAGGAGGTACAGCGTTCTACAATTGACTTTAATGAACAATGAACCATTCGGGAAGCGGTAAACGCCAGGCGAAGGTTTTGGAAGATAATTTTTGGGACTGCAGTGTCTGCACTTATAGGAATACAGCGGAAGCATTTAAGTGCCTCATGTGTGACGTCCGCAAGGGAACCTCTACGCGGAAACCCCGCATAAACCCCCAATTGGTAGCTCAACAGGTCAGTCTGATCATCAAGTAACATTGCCTTTTATTTATCTATTGCGATATTACCTCTCATGAATATAATGGTAACTTGGAGTTACATCAATTTGTACAAATGGCTAAACAAGAAGAAAGAATGTCTCTCGTGCAGTATACCATGTTTTGTTCCTCCGCGACACAACCCGTTCTCCATTTTTCTTTATCCGGTCCCTCTTAAATTTCACGTTATACTTTATTAACTTCTTGTTATACTTTAATTCGCTATTAAAACTCGAACGAAATCGTTCCGAGCTTACATAATCAACATTGTACATCGCGCGTCTAGGTTGCGCAGCAACAATATGTGCCACTTTTGAAACCAGGCAAGAAGGAAGGTAGCAGCGGCGGCAGCACAACCAGCAGCGGCAAAGAGAAGGAGCGCAAGCTGGACAAACCGAGGCGCAAGAACAGACACCCGCCGCGTCTCAAAAATATCGACCGCAGTACCGCGCAATCGAACGAAGTGACAGTAAATAATGTTACCGTTGTTATCACGGAGTACAAGCCCAAGGTGAAGAAGGGCTCGGACCAGTCGGGCGTGTCCAGCAGCGCTAGCTCCGAGAACGGGAGCCAGCACGATTCCAATCAGGACTCGAGAAGTCTGGACATCGGGACCGACGCCTAGCTTAATGCTATATATATGTTACATACGTGTACGAATTATTCTAATTAATATATTGTATAATGTATGTCTCAAACCTCCATGGTACCGCTGTACACATCCTATAGACGAGAAAAACGTAAAAGAAACAAGAGCGACCGTTTTGTCTAACGTGCGTTGCAGGTTGCACACACACACACACACGTATATATACACACAAATACACACAGTCGATAAACGAGGTCAGACATTTTATGCTATCAACGGGGATGTTATTGATCGTTCATGATTTAACGGAAGAAAAAGAAAAATACGTGCATATATATATATATATATATA